ACACAAATGATTTGAAATGTGCAGGGATGACAACAAACCATTGATCATAGAATTACAGAATAATCTGGGTTGGAAGGGACCTTAATGATCACCTAGTTTGAACACACTCAAATTGTATAGTGTTTTATACTTTTCTGTTTTGTTCTTACTTGTTTAATAGCAGTAACAATAATTTTAGTGTCCTAATTTATTCAGACAGATTGGTTGCCCTGGAACTACCCAAGAGTTGGCTGGCAAGTCAGCAGAGAAACCAGCACATTTTCTTCTTCCTCTACATGATAAAGCCAATTTTACAGCCTTCCAGATTTCTGGATTTATTTCACTGAAACCGAATCATCATATCGCTACACAAATCCTATATATTTAATCTGAACTGAGATTAGCTGCATTGGATTCTTTTTTTTTTTTTTCTACTGCAACTAGCTTTATTGCTAAAGTGCCATTCAATCAGAAATGTCTGTCACCATAATACCAATAGCCATAGAAATGAGGATGCATGATCAGTGAAAAGTCTGTCTCAGCTCAATTCTCATTTCATTCATTCAAAAATGCACTTACTGGGAAATAGGATATCAGCACTTGCTAATCTGAGCCTTGAAAGACAACTGATTCTAGTTAAAAGTCTCCCTGACTTTAGGAAGCACCAGCATAGAAGAAACAATGAAACACCAAGTAAGGCAAGAGAGAAGCCTGCCATAGTCGGTGCAAGCCGGGCAGCTTCCCCGAGTTGGCAAAATGCAATTGCCATTTTCAAGAAGCAACTTTTCTTCACTTCTTTAGCTATTCAGAAAAAGTCTTGGTAGAGGATGTCTGGGTGAAGTTTGAATTGCAAAGGGAGTAAACAATAGACAAAAAAAAATACCAATGTGAAAAGTGTCCAATCAGAAAAGGTTTATTTCAGATTTATGCAGGAACAGTGATGACAGATAGGCATTCTAGTAGAAAATTTAATATTAAAAAAAATAAATTGAAGGCTGGAATATATAATAGAAAAGCAAAGAAAACTTTTTAGCCAATATTATTTTAAGCAATAATCATAGAATTATAGACTGGTGTGAGTTGGAAGGGACCTTAAAGATCATCAAGTTCCAACTCCTTTGCCATGGGCAGACACCTTCCACTAGACCAGGTTGCTCAATGCCCCACCCAGCCTGGCCTTGAACGCTGCTGGGTGATGGGGCAGCCACAGCTTCTCTGGGCAACCTGTGCCAGCGCCTGCCCACCCTCACAGTAAAGAATTTCTTCCGTTTATCTAATCTGTATCTGCCCTTTTTCAGTTTAAAGCCATTCTCTGTTGTCCTATCACCTACCCTTGTAAAAGGTCCCTCTCCAGCCTTCTTGTAGGGCCCTTTTAGGCACTGGAAGCTGCTCTAAGTTCTCCCCAGAGCCTTCTCTTCTCCAGACTGAACAAGCCTAACTCTCTCAGCCTGTCTTCATAGGACAGGTGCTCCAGCCATCAGATCATCTTTGTGGTCTCCTCTGGACTCACTCCAACAGGTCCACATCCTTCCTACACTGAAGGCCCCAGAGCTGAACATACTACTCCAGGTAGGGTCTCACCATCTTACATTACATAGAGCTTCTCACCGTTTTTATGGAAAGGTTTAAATACAGTCACCTCCATTCGTACTTAACTAACTACATGGAACAAACTGCGTAACAGTTTAATACTGGTAATAACAAAAATACCCTTTCTAGTGGAACTAAGTAATTTGAAATTGCAAAATACAACTACTAAAACTTATATGTCAGAGCATCAGAAAGAGTTATTATTAAAGTCCATACATTAAATATATATATATATCTTTTTAACCTCTAAGAGATATTTTTACTTTATAACAGTCTCTAAAAAGGTACGAACCTGAGAAACACCTCTTGCTAATTAAAGCTGTATCACCTGTATAATCCCCAGTTTCTATATTAGGAAACACTGCAGTAACTTCAAGTTCTAGAAACTGTTAAGGCAGCATTTCAAGTGTAGCTGGGATCTTACATATCATTTTAAAGCTGTCTGCCTAGCACAGCAGGAACCATTTGTACAACTACCTGTATTGCCTAGCAATAATCACTGAACTACTGAAAATAGCTTTAACAGCATGCAAGGAATTAGTCCTTTCACCCAGGAGGAAGCTGTACTGCTTTCAATTTCTGTTTCATAGACTTAAAATTTCTTTTGCTTTTAATCTCTGTTCTTTCACACTTTCTGGAGCACTGTGAAATTGTTAACATTATTGATCAAATTGTTCACTGTTAAACATGCTTATTTGCAGCTGTTCAAGAATCACTGCAGGATGTAAAAAGGATTGCCTAAACAGTATAGCATTAATAGCAACAGTAACAGTATAAGTGTAATAGTGTAAGTGTATAAGTATAGTAATATAGAGATAGATGGTAATTAATAGATTTACAGATATTGGAGGTAAGATTAACGGTTTGCAAAATCCAGAGAAGTTTTTAAATTATCCAGAAAATTACATATTTGCTTTGCCTGTGTGACAAGCAGTGTTTATGCAAATAGATGTCACTAAATAGTGGTCAATTTCTAACAGAGTTTGGCATATATACTTTGGATTTTAAACTATCATACTACTAGAAGTTATTAAAGTATACATCAAAGGAGGTTTTATCAGGTTAGTTCCTACAACTGTGCAAGAGCAAGCTTATGAGAAGACAGCACTCTAAGAGCTAGGTGATACATCAAAAATAGTGTCTGGGCACAGAAGCAAGTTGTAATTAGCAAAAGTTCAAGACTTCCACAAGTACTCAGGCTGGCATTGATTTTTACTGTATTTTCTCAATGAATTGGCAACAGAAATATGTTAAAGAATAATATATTTTTTTTTTTAATCCCTTAAGTAATCATCATTGGAAGAGGAAAACATGAACCAAACCAAACAAGATATCTTTGTGGATACCCCATCCCTGGAAGTGTTCAAGGCCAGGTTGGATGGGCAGATAATCTAAATGATCTTTAAGGTCCCTTCCAACCCAAACCATTCTGTGATTCTATGATTTTAAAGTTGCAGGTATTTTCACACAACATCTGTAGTAAGGTGCATACTCAATGTAATACTTATCTGCAGAAAGCCCAATAAAATACGTGTAAGATGGGAAATTAGGTACAGAAAACAGCTGGTTTATCTGCTAGGAGTAGGGAACGGTGATGATCCTAAAAAGCAGTGATGACCACTGAATCTATGTAGCCATGGGTTTGTTTGTCCTTCTTCCCCCATTTCTTTCCAAAGAAGCTTTTGGAGGTTTTGTAATGCCATCTCCCAGTTCCCAGTGGAGCAAAATACTCCTGTGTGGTTGATTTGTCCAGAAACCTCACTATGTTTCCTTACAGGCTGATAGTATCAAAACCCTTCTTTTGCTGCTTTAACCCCACAGGAAGCCTGTTCACATGTCACTTTCTTAACATATTTTAATCCCTCACATTAACTGAAGTTCAGACGTACTACCTAGCATTCAAAGCTTTATCTCAGCTGACAAAAGGAGATCTCATGGTTATTTTCTGCCTAGCAGGACTTAATTAGGTAACAAAACAGAGAGAGAGGTGGAGAGAGAAAGACACAGAGAGATCCTGTAATGTGACCCTCATGAGTCTCCTCCAATAAAGAATTTTTCACTCCATGGATAGTGTGATCATTACAAAACTATTAAAACAACATGATGGGTTTGAATTCTTAGCTCAGAGAGAAATGAACAGATGTATAGGAGCTATAGTGGAGATTCCTTCTTCCCTTCTAACTTTGAATTTCTTTATATTTATTGTGCCTGTATAAGTGTCTTTTCGGCACCTTTTCACTATCCTATCAGAAAAATGAAAATTGTATTTTGGTTTCTGGTTACATGAAAATTAATCTGAGTAGGGCACCTAATTGGTGGTGCTCTTATTTCAGGGCAAAGAAAAGCCCTCTGAATTAGCCTTGTTTCCTTTTTGATAGGTGGTTTATCCTTCTGAAGATAACTGTGCTCTCATGTCTTTTTTTCAGCATTTTCAATAGCCTCACCATGAGAAACCCTATTTTAACAGTAATGATAGTGGTCTAACCTGAAATAGATTGATTAGCTGCCATGGAGACAAAGTTCATTTCTACCTCCTGATAGGTTGATTTCTCTTTATTAAAAATAACTGACTGATTTTAACTTCCTACAAACTTTTCCTTAAAAAAGAAAAAGGAAATACAAACTCATTTGAAATGGCAAGTTGCTCACTTCTATGTTTGAGTTAGGCTTTTCACTTCCCAAAATATCCTTATAATGTCCTAATGAATATTCCCATTGATATTATATACCAATTTACTTTATAATATAAGTTCAGAACTTGCTAATTTCATCCTGACCCAAACCAGCAGTTCTGGGGAGATTACAGACTTCATATGATTCATGTGATTAATTGGATGCTATCAATGGTTTCAGCATTAAACAAAAAAAGAAGTCTAACAGAAAATAGGATTCTTCCTTTTGCACCTACAACAGAGTAATCTATGCTATGGATTATTCTTTCTGTGTGTTATATGTAATACCTTTCAAGCACAAAAATAACTACATGGAAGCTAACCATTTCACATGCTTTTTATATTGTTTGAATGTTTCTTGATAGCAAGTGGGGTTTAGAGTTTCTAGGTTTTTTAGCAGTAGTCCACCAGATTTCATGCAACTTCATCCTGCATCTGACAGCTTTGGGTATGAGTTTCTTTTATTTTACTATGAAGACAGCAGTATTTATTTCATGTGTGTATTTATGGACAAGATTTCAGAAGATCTCTTCTTTTTATTTCATTCATCAGTATAAAATTGGTTAATAAAAAGGTCTATGAGTTAAAATATTTAATGATTGAAAAAGCTATCAATGTCATATATTAGTAGAGTATATTTCTTTAAAGACCTTGTGCCACAGGTCAAAACTTATATTATTAGAAGGAAAAGAAGGTATGTATGTGCGTATTTCAGGCATGACTTCACAAATACTGTGATATTTTGCCCTGCCATAACAGGTCACAACTTTAACTCAAGAAGTCTCACAATTAAGTAAGAATATGAAGAATGTGATGCACCTTCTAGAGAACCTGCTCACCTCCCAGAAGACACCGGGGTTCTGTGCTGTGCACAGCATAACTCGGAGTCCTACCCTGGACAGTCTTCAGTCTCGAATGGCTTGGACTACACATCAACCTTGCACGCACATGCAAGCTGGGATCTTTACTTGCACCAAAGCACAACCTTGCCGCAGCAACACTTTATGTGACATTTGGAATACTGATCTGTCCTCTGTAGGCAGCAGTCCCCAAAGAACTGAACCCAACCTGCAAAATTCTATGGATGCTGAATTTTATTATACATCAGGCCTTCACAATTCCCCTTCCCAGTATCAGGTAATTCAGAAAGACAATCTGCAGTTTTTAAGATGCACCTCTCCCCATTCAGACACTACCTTGACTCCTCTTCAGTCTATTTCAGCAACTCTTTCTTCTTCAGTATGCTCTTCATCAGAAACATCTTTACACCTCGTGCTCCCTAGCAGATCTGAGGAAGGTAGCTTTAGCCAAGGAGCAGTCAGCTCGCTAAGCCTTGAGAACCTGCCGGGATCATGGAACCTGGAAGGAACAGCCGGAGTCGTTTCTGCGCAGACCCCAGATTTCCCAATAGACACTGTGACAAGGACAAGGGATGTTAAAGATAAAGATTACCAAGCCATAGATGTATGAGAAACACTGAAGTGGGACTCAAAGCATGTGTCACAACTGCCAGTTTTAAATTTAGACTGCATGACAGCTTTATTTGACCTTTCCTCTGGCAATCATGGAGACTTACAGACATGAAAATTCAGATTTATAGGAAGAAGGAAAAGGTATTGAAATTCATACTACAGGAAGAAAAAAGAAATCTAGACTCTAGAAGCACGTTGAAAAGAATTTTGTATACAGATATAACTTACTGGTCTGTTTGGCAGACTTTTGTGATAGTCCAAAGACCCTGAGGGTCAGAGCAGCTGGAAGTCTAGGACAAAAGAACTGTCATAGGCGGCTTTTGTTCATTGAAGCAAAGGTTTTCCCTGAGTGTCTGGCTGTTCCTAAACAAAATCTATGGCACTGTTTGCTTCAGGTGATTGTGGGTCCTGCTGGTCTGTTTGTCAGTTCCGTGAAGGCGAAGGGACAATTATCGCTGCATGTCATCTAGACAATCAACCAAATAGAGCTGGTAGAGTGGTTAGTCATTGCACGTTATTTGTCATGTAAATTAAACCTCTTAATTTATCTAAAAATAATATTTTTATATACTTGGTATGAAACATGTACTAAAAATTATTTAAAATATTTATAAAGAGAATAAGAGCTTGTTTTCATTTTGGTAAAAGCTTGCAATTTTAACAAGAAATGCACTACCATCATGTATTAGATCAAATACTATTTATTGCTCAGATATTATGTAGTTTACAAATGGATTCCTTTTTATGTGCATGCAATTTGCAATGAATGTATTCATGCTGGTGGAATACAAGTAAGTTAAGTTATTATTTTATTTAAAAAAATAAAACAGCAGGAATGTTGTATCCTATACTAAGTCAGCAATCACTAAAGTGAATTGTTATATTTATAACATTAAGTACCCTTGGTTTGTGTCTTAATATTGCACTATTACTGGTAAGACCAAGTCAACATCTTAATATAAATCCCTGTTTTGAGATTTTGTATCTGAACAAGAAAATTAAAAGGGATGGAAACTATTGAGTGAACTGAGGAATATTAAAGGATAAATTTACAATGGTTTAGTCAGAATCAAATAATTAAGTTAAAAATATTTATTTATCAGATGATATTTTTACTTACATATATAAAATCTAGCTTTGACCTTTAGTTAAAAAAAAAAAAAAGAAGATACTATAGGTTTGCAAATTATTTAATCCAGAACTTGATTTAAAGCTCAAAGGAAATTTTAAGGGTTTTTTCAGTATCTAACATATTTAAAAAATCATATTACTACAGTGCAACCAGAGCTACTGCTTTGCATTCGAATTTTGATTTATATATTTGAAGATGCACAATATGCATCATACTTGCATGTTCTCTAGTAAGCTTTCTAAAAATAGTGTGTTTACAACCCAAAATACGTGTTCTAAAATAGAGAAGTAAATTAAGTTACATTTAATAAAATGGCAATTGTTCTTAATTTAATTTTTTTACAGAGCACAGACTTTTGTTTTACTTCCATAGGAGGTTGTCTTAAAAAAAAAAATAAAATCCTCAAAGACTAAGTTCATTGTTAACATTTGGCTGTGCATAGGAACACAAGTCTCAGCTGAAACTCTATGCCCAGTCTACATCTTTCAGCAACCTTTTTCCCACTGGTACAAATTAAGGACAAATTGTCATCTTTCATTTTGAGCTGCCTGAATTTTGTCAGGGTGGCTATACTTCAACATGAGTGTTTCTATGTAGAGTTTCCTATTTTCCTTCTATTCCAGTTTTCACTTAGTTTAAGGTTAAATAGAGAAGTGCTGATTAAATAAGGCATATCCCAGAAATTAAAAAAATCCTGTCAGAATAGCAAGAAGCTCCATGGCAATAGGGTACTGCCTTGCCTCAGCAGCCAGCCAGCACACTATATAGCCACATCCCTTTCCTGTCCTCATCATAAAGTACAGGTGCTGTTTCCTTGGGATGCACAGGCACATACAGCATGGCTGTCCACAAATCCTGATTCATCACTGCTGTCTTCTTCATGTCACATCGGGTAACCTGCCCTCAATGAAATACACAGGCTCATGTAAACTCACCGCAACACCCAGCCATTGACTGGGACTGCAGAAATATACTATTTGCCTAACATGCTTGGTTCCCAATATAAATTAATAATTTCCATTACATATATAAATTGGGAACAGTATTTGCTTTCTCATTATTTGAGCAATACATAAACCATTATGTATTTCCTTTAAAGCTCTGGCTTTATTTTTTCTTTTCCAATAAAAACACCAGTGTCATGAGATTAAAACTGGAGGTTTTGTTCTGGAGTTTTGTGTTAATTTTATATAAAAGTGTAAAAAAGTCAATAAAAACAAAAAGCTACTTTGTATAAATAGCCATAGCTTTACTGATACATTACTGTACATTTAATTCTCAAATAAAAATAAATGCATGTGCAGTAACTGAGAAAAAATGGCACCAGGATCTGTCCTACGTAGTTCCTTCTTTCTACAAATGTCAAATATTTCCTAAACAATGTTGGCAAATGCTATGCCATTTGTAGTGGCTACAGTTTCAAATAATATACATAGTCATTACCTGGACTGCACAAAGTATATAATGCAAGTACACTGCTTCCCAGGGAAAAGCCCAAGGAGCTTCAGAAAGCACAAGAGTTCATTCTAGGTCAAAGCCAAGAAAGGAAAGAGGAAGGTCAATAAAACAGAAATCTGGATTTGAATGGTGGTTCTGTTTTAAACTCATTGACACCATTATATTATGAAAGCCTCAGAAAAAGAATCCCCCAGGCAGCTTTTGGTTGAAAATATCTGGTAACCAATGCAGAAAATTTCAGTTTTAAAGGTAAAATGACAATTCACAGGGACAAATGGGAAAGCACGTACATTTGGAATGGAATAGCAAATTCCAAACAGGATTACCATTTCTACAGATAGCATGGCCATGGAGAATTTCTGGGTTTAAAGCAACAACCATTGTAATATTCAAGTACTGCACTCAAACGGTGTTCATTATGAGCATCAATACAAGCATCCCATACCCTAATATCCAGCAGCCCAGTTTACTGTATTCCTTTTTGCTTTACAAAAATAATAATAAAAAAATCATTTTTTGTCTCAGGATTGTTCTTCCCATGTAATTCTGCATCAGTTTACTTCTTAAATTTGCTACAATTTCTTCCTTCCCCTCATTTTCTATCACTGTTAGTTGTTTCTTCTGTACAGTAAGTGTAAACTCCATTTATTTATTTCCCCTCTCTTTTTTTTTCCCTTTACCCAATTCCTTTTATATTCCCTTTATAACACTATCAAACTCAACCATTTGTGCCCTCATTTCCTAGTCATTTCCCTATAAAAAAACATTCTAAGCCTGCCACTAAAGAGCAAGGTCATGCAATAAGACAGCAGATTAGGTCTGTGTTAAGACTCAAACAGTAAGCCACCGGTCTAACCAAAATTTCATGCACTATCTTCTCACAATGCTGCAGTTACCGCCATTGAATATGGGGGAAAAAAAAAAAAAAAAAAAAAAGGCACTGAGTAAAGAACAAAGGAAAAAAAAAACAAAACACGGAAGGAGGATCCCCCATGCATTTTCTCCTATCTTCTGCTTTTATATCTTCAGATACAGTTTTAAAGAGATGTATTTGTGTTGTACTCATGACAACTACTAGATTCAATCTGAGAAACAAAGATTATCACAAACTCCGCAAATAATCATAATTTTTTACAAATCATACCCAGCTCATGATAACCTTACTTTGACCCATCAGTTGGTTACCTACCACAAGTAATTTACTCTCTAATTAGCCAATCTGCTAACTGCACACAAGATTTTAAATTACTTTATTTTATAAGACAGTTTTGTAACACACTTTGTCAATAGCCTCACCTGGTAGCCTGTAAAAAATTTTGCAAATGATGTTTTGGGATGAAACAATCTGTTCTCATCCTTTTCTGCATCTTCTTATTTTAGCCTAAAAGTACTCGGTTCTTAAACCCCTCTCACTGGGACATTTGCAGATATTTTGTACTGCTGAGCCTACCAATGAGAAGTCACATTCCTGTTTTCTAGAAAAACAAACACTTCTAACAGCTTCTTACCTCGGCATTAAAAAAATGAAGCTGTAGGTGGGAATTAAAGCAGCATTGGACTGAGAATAAGAAAATGGAAAAGGCTGGTGCTTGGTTTCCTTACTCCAACCTCCAACTCAGGGGAATTAGCACAGCAGTCATCCATTCCAGCAGCCTACATGGCATTGAATCTTCACTCAGAAAATCAGACCACCTGTCACAGGAAACCTTCACCCATCTTCCTTCAGTATCTACAAATCATCAAAATAGTGAAATCCTATAAAAAACAAACAAGCAAACAAGCATAGCTGCAAGTACGTGAGATGATGCCACACATAAAGTCAGTCTTATCGTTTCCAAGATGAACATAAAGGTCATATCATTATTCCCAGACCAACCACTGACCTCCTTCATAAAATTTTCTTCCAAGAGTCACTGTATGTCTCTTACCATGCGCTGTCAGTGGCAACAATGACAAGAAACAGCAACTTCCTGCTCCAAAACCACAAATCTGATCCTTCTGTTTAAAGAAAAAAGCTGATGAAAAGAGAATTTTATTTTATACGTACCTTGATACCAGAATTCTCACAGACTTTGGAAATCCCTCAAAGAAGCAGGTTAAGGAAGGCTAAAGGTTGAAAGGTTCATTTCCATTAGAACTCATAACCACAAAAATTGTACAAGAGGAGTAGCAATAACTTCCTCTTTCAAGTTGTTTTAATGTTTAGTATGTAATCTTACATTTATGTCTTGATGGTGTGTCTTAAGTATTGGAATTTATGCAGAAAAGATTCACCCTTGAATTTATTCTCTCCACAGCTCTTGAGAAACCTGTTAATACTTGCCATGGTAAATCCAAAGGTTTTATACATAACCAAGAAATGTCCAAGTACAACAGAAGCAAGGTAGAAAAAAAAGGATGGTAAAAGACTTTATCTTCAATGACATGGAATTGCATATTACATATACAATATATTGACATATTACAATAAGGATAAAATATCGACAGAATTAATCTCACATGGAATAAACACTTCCACTAACTGCCTTATAAGGAGCTCTGAAAAGAAATATTTCCTCAGTTTTCAGATTTTCTTATCCTAGATGTTGTGTTATCAACCTCATATATAAAAAATACTCTGATAGGGTCCCTGAAAGTTACAACTTCAGAAATTACAAATTCTTTTATTCTTTTCTTTTTTACCTGCCTTTGACCTCTTATAGTTGATTTCCCCTACAGTGTAAGTGCCAGAGTAGTGCAGAAGAGTAACTTAACATTGTCATAAATGAAAACTGTAGGAACTGCACTAAGGACTCTCAGGCATCACAAGCATCACAAAGAAAATGCACAGAAATGGGCAAAACTAGAGTTTGCGCAGGTGAATCGTAGGGTTTTTACAAAAAAAAATCCTTAAGTAAATCAAAAACAGCAGAAGATTTATCAGGGAAGCATGCAAAGATAAGGATTTTTTTTTTTTTTTTTTAAAAAAGCTCACAGGCCTTCACATTTAACAGTCCACGCATCCTAAAAATTTAGCACAGCCAGCACAAGTTTTGAGATTGTAAATCCACCTTAACTGCACTTAAATTTCACATATAATACGTAAGGGTGATGTGTGTGTTCACCTTGGGCTGTAGGGTAAGTATTGTGATTCCTTATTTTTAGTATATTCTACCTCTGATATATTTGTGCAGTTAAATAGACATCATCTTCCTTTGCTTGCCCAAATAAAACAAGGTAACTGTCTTGGTTTTGTTTTGTCTTGGTTTTTTACTGAGA